GCTGAGCTGCGCTCGCAGTAACTTTTTTCGCAAATTTTTTAATCCAATATTTTGAACTTTCCCTATCAACAATCTTAGAGATTGGACTAAATATTACATTCCATAATTTAGGACTTGAAGTTGATGACATTCTTCCGTCAGAATAATTATATGTACTATTCATATTATTCCACCACATTTTGGTTGATAATTTGATTTCCTAAGTCCAATCATACATATAAGTGGAAAACTTACAAATACCCCTTAAAATGCTGGCTTTATACTTATAGTATAAAGATGTAGGTATAGGTCAGGGACGTAGCCAGGTTTTTTATTTGAGGGGGGCTTTCGGGGAGCGAAGCTAGCCGACGCGTCCAATCCAGCTGCGCAGCGAGCGAAGCGAGTAAGCTGTGGCAGGGGTCTGGGGGGCGCAGCCCCCCTGAAAATTTTTGCGAAACAGGGTGTTTTAGACGACATTTGGCATTAAGGGGGGTTCACCCTGATTTTTTGTGAAACTTGGTTTCGAGATAGCAGTTGACCAACAAACTAGGACCGGTGACCAAACTTTTGAGGGGGTTCCGGACCCCAACTGCCAAACGGTACCCGCGGGGCAGCCACGCCCATATTTGGTCCAAATTAGGCCCAATTTAGCCAAATACCCTCAACATGCCCAAAACCCAGATTTTAGGTGATATACTTGTAGCTAGTGGTCCCCTGAACTCGTATATGAATTTTCATCAGGATTGGACAAAAAATGACTGAGTTATGAGCCAAAAACCATATGCCCATATTTGGGTATACGCACCAAATTTTGTCGATTTTGGCCCATAAATTGGTCAGATATCAATATTTTTGAATGAAACCAACTTTATATGGAAGGTAAGCCTATACTACACATTCTCTATGATTATCAGCTCAGTATCTACCTAACTGTGGATTCTGTGTTCAATTAATCGCAAAAAATGAACAAAATCGCCCATATCTCAGTTCGCGATATTTGCGAAACTGATTTCGTTCAAAACAATAGAACTCAATAGGGTTTCAATATTTTTACATGAAATTTTCAGAATCAACGTAGAATCTCATTTCGACCTTAAGTTTTAATATGGAAATTTGCCGGGCATTTTTCAGAATTTGGCCGCCAAATTTTTTAAAAGGCCTAACTCAAAATTGAGGGTATTTGGCTCAATTGGGCCTAATTTGGACCAAATATGGGCGTGGCTGCCCCGCGGGCACCGTTTGGCGGTTGGGGTCCGGAACCCCCTCAAAAGTTTGGTCACCGGTCCTAGATTGTTGGTCAACTGCTATTTCGAAACCAAGTTTCACAAAAAAATCAGGGTGAACCCCCCCCCCCCTTAAAGAAATTTGTAGGACAGCAATAAACTGGGATTGAAAAGAATCAAGTACTCACGTACAGGGACGTAGCCAGGATTTTTCTTTGAGGGGAGCTGTTGGCGAGCGAAGCGAGCCGACGTGTTCTATCCAGCTGCGCAGCAAGCGAAGCAGGGGTCTGGGGGCGCAGCCCCTTGGCGGGGGCTAGGGGGGCGCAGCCCCCCGGAAATTTTTTTCGAAACAGGGTGATTTGGCATTAAAGAAATTTGTAGGACAGTAATAAACTGGGATTGAAAAGAATCAAGTACTCACGTAAAGTTGGTAACTTCACAACAGCAATCTGCATTCTCCAATCAGAATTTACGACTTACTCAGGCCTCATCGTCTTAAAATTTTTACATTTCCTACGGTCTAGGGGACACTAATAAAACAAAAGTTAATAAAACAAAAGTTAAATTTATTACCAATTATTCAATCAATACATATCATAAATTCTAATATTGGAAACACAATGCAGAATGGATGTCTTAAACTATAATTTGTTGTCACTAATAATCTATTTACTTTCAAAGTTGAAATTTAGTTAAGTATGAAATGCCACCACATCATAGTTAGGGTAAAATATAATTCTTAAAAATTTTAAAATTAAGAAGATTGCTCTATGACTTAAAATTTAAAATTTAGCTAAAGATGTCTAATTTTTAAATAGTTGGTTACAGTTTATGACAGTACTGGCATGACCAATTTTATTGTGGCTGGTAAAAGGACCCAGTTGCCTGTAAGGGCTTTACCGAACCCCTGGGGACCACAATGTGATAGGATCAGGCCAGATGTTTCTATGTAGAGCAATTTATTTATTTCGGAGCTATGGTTACGTGGTATAGTTGGTGGTCATGTTTAAAGGTCAGTTTATCCTTGTGTGCTAATTATCCATCCAGATGCTTAGTGATGTGAGTAAATCATGCCCTTCTACATTATATAACGTTTGACTATAAATTTGTTTTTACCACAGAAACTGTGGCACTAAGGTCAAGAATTAAAAATTTGTACTCTCATTGATAGTTAAAGCGTTTTTTTTTTTTCCCCAGCACTACTACACAACAGAAACCTGTCGGCCCACCGAGGAAACACAGTCGCAGAACAAAGAACCCAATTGTGCTCCTCTATTCTGCGATCGTGTGTATTTACTATAAACTAGCTAAATGCAGTTAGTAAAATTTTCTGGAATCATTCAAGTCGTTTGATTAGTTTATGTGTCAAAGTAATGTCCATGATAATCATATTTTTGGATCCCCGGTGGGCAAACACTCGTCCCAAAGGCTAAGGCAAACCTGTCAATGTTTCCCCATACGAAGTAAGGAGAACACATACTCAGCCTACAACTCCACCCATGGGACGAGACGTCGTGAGCCTCAAAATATATAGCATATACCCAGTCAGCAAACACTATACACAACATACATACGATACCAATCAATGTATAATGCCATTACTTCATTTAAAAGAAAATACATCTGCTATCTAATTGTTAAAAAAATTGAAGAATAAACCTGAAGAGAGGAGAAGGAGAGAGGGGTTTGGGAGAGGTAGAGTAGGAAAACAACAAGATCCTGTGCCGCAGGATTTTAAAATTTGTTGTATGATGATTCGTTTTGTGTCGTCTCTTAGATTAATATAGGTCTGATACCCTTGTCATGGTTTTTTGCAATAACACCGTGGTTTACTCATGTGATTATGTTTACTAAATCAACCTATTTCAATGATAATTCATTTGCATCAAAGTTGTAACTGCACCAAAGTTGTCGGTCATATTTAGACTGTAGTTCTAACAAAGATTTCTTAAGATTATTCTTGAATATACTGATGGGAGTGGAGAAGTCTATTTCACTTGTTGACTTACGGCAGTGATTCCAAATACTAGTTGATTGATAGATGAATAGTGAGGATGGAGTGGGTGGGATGAAGTAGTTGTCTCGTCTTGGTGACCTGTTGAATAAAGAGAACATTGAGATTGGTGATTGGAACTTATTAATTTTGAACATTTCCAGTAAACAGTGCAACTTATGAAGATTGTGGACAGTCAGGAAGTTATACTCGTTACAGATTGGTTTACTGTGTTCTAGTTTAAAGAAATCTTTGCCTAACATCTGCTTGATAACTTTACCGGTCTTATCCCTAGTGATAGGCCTTACTCTGGCACATGTTTTGAACTTATTGAAGTATGCATCATTATCACCAAAGAGAATTCTTATGCATTTCTTTTGTGTTTTAAATATGGCTTCTAGTTTATTATTTGATACACCTCCCCAAACAGATATTCCATAACATAGGTGTGATTCAAAAAGGGTGTGGTACAGGTCCTTATATAGTTTTTTAGGTACACAGCGTCTAATTCCACTATTGACTATTTTTAGAAGTCTTCTAGAATGTTTGCTTGGATGTTATGACAGATATTTACTAATGACTAATCCACAGTTCAAATCTTTGACTGACTGTAGTCATAAACACAGCCCAGTTACCAGGCGACCATGGCCATGGGGGAGTAGACACACAGTTGATAACAACAGACCTACTATCAATATCAACAGACCCACTATTTCATCTTACAGACCCACAAGTCAATCCACAGACCCATTTCAGAGTAGCAAAGACCCACTATTAAGCGAGTAGACACACACACTTAATAACAATAGGCCCACTATCAATATCAACAGACCCACTATTCCACCTTATAGAGTATAGACCCATGTAAGTACGTCTACACTATAATAAAACACATCCAAGCTATCAACAGGCCCACTATTTGAGCATGTACAGACCCTCATTAACCATGGTCAATTCAATCCTAACCTCACCCCCCCCCCCCCCCCCCCCCCCCAAGAAAATATGTTTTTTTTCGTTTCAGCCAATTTTAATTTTTCGATGAAAAAATTTGAGGCAAGGGTGCTGGCACCCTTGGCACCCTATAAAAAAAAACCTTACCTAAGCATTGTGGTGTAACAGCCATCTATGCGCTTCTTCAATGACTCTGTCAACGTCCATGTTTGAGAGCCATATAAGAGTATTGACTCCACAGTAGCAACAATGAGACAGATCTTTAGTCCTCTCCTAATGTCAGACTTCCACATCTTTTTTAGCTTGTGGCAAGCTGCCCAAGCCTTAGCTTACCTGACCCGCAGGTCCCTTTCTATTGCTGCTATCCATGCCCCAGGGTATTCAAAGTCCGTCACCTTTTCCAGCTGGTTCCCAGAGCAGCTTTCAAGACTACTGGCCTCCTCTGTCATGTTCAGAGTCATGAACTTAGTTTTAGTGTCGTTCATGGCTAGCCCCGCACAAAGTGCTGTAATCTCAAGCCTGTCCTGGAGTAGTTTTGCCCCTTCAATGGTATCAGTGATAAAGGATGCATCACCCATAAAAACTTATTTCTTTGCAATGTCACACATCTAGAGAAAGACTTTCTTTTGTTCCATTGGTTTTTGTTACTGTTCTGAATGCTATTACCACTTCATCCCTGGCAAGTGTAGCACAAGTTGTGCTGGGTGTTTAAAATCTCTATTAAGAATGTTCTTAATAGTTGAACAATATCATATGTACTTATTATACATGCAGTACAATCCAAGGTTACTAATTTACAGATAAATTTTGTAAAGCTGCAGCATTTTCACAATTTTCATCTACTCCTTAGCCCATGATGACTCTAAGAGAATGAATACAGCACCTCAACCTGTTGCAGAGTTTGGGAGCAACCAAGAAGTGGAAATCTCAGAATCTGAGAGTGAATTTGATTTGAACGATCCCCATCTTGCTATAAAACAGATATTCAACTGCTTCGACACAGATGGAGATGGCTTTATCGATAGGTAATTTATCTATTTCTAAAGTACTAGTAGTTTACATGATCTTTTGCATCAAAAATCCTGCTCACTTTTTTTGATCCATCAACTATTGAATATTTGATAAAACAAAAGTTAATAAAACAAAAGTTAAATTTATTACCAATTATTCAATCAATACATATCATAAATTCTAATATTGGAAACACAATGCAAAATGGATGTCTTAAACTATAATTTTGTTGTGACTAATAATCTATTGATTTTTAAAGTTGAATTTTAGTTAAGTATGAAATGCCACCATATCATAGTTAGGGTAAAATGTTATTTTTAAATTTTAAAATTGAGAAGATTGCTCTATGACTTAAAATTTAAAATTCTAGCAAAAGATATCTTATTTTTAAATAGTTGGTTACAGTTTATGACAGTACTGGCATGACTAGTTTTATTGTGGCTGGTAAAAGGACCCAGTTGCCTGTAAGGGCTTTACCGAACCCCAGGGGACCACAATGTGATAAGATCAGGCCAGATGTTTCTATATAGAGCAATTTATTTATTTCGGAGCTATGGTTACATGATGTTGTTGGTGGTCATGTTTAAAGGTCAGTTTATCCTTGTGTGCTAATTATCCATCCAGATGCTTAGTGATGTGGGTAAATCATGCCCTTCTACGATATATAACGTTAAACCATATTTTGATTGAGGAGCACTACTCAGAGGCATTACTCGGCACTAACGCTTTTTAGTATAGTAGTCAACAATGGTAAATAGTGGTACATGAAACTGCTTTGTATATTTTAGTGTTAGTGTGGCTTGATGAGGATTTATCTGCCCTACATCTTTTTTGTAACGACTTTTAGATAATCAGTTCATAAAACTTAACTTGCAGAAATTTGCTGATTTGATTTATAATTGAACAAATCAAGAACAATAAATTTGTTGATTCAATTTACATCATAAATCATGAACATGTTTGCAAGCATATTATTATAATATTATATGCTCAATGCTCATATATAGACTTGTAATGTAGCTGGTAGCACCAAGGAAGCTGTACACTGTACAGTGCACACGTTGATTACACTGTGTGTACCAAGTAACCACGTTACCAAGTAACCAAGTAACCACGTTACCAAGTAACCACGTTACCAAGTAACCAAGTAACCACGTTACCAAGTAACCAAGTAACCAAGTAACCAAGTAGCCATGTTACCAAGTAACCATGTTACCAAGTAACCAAGTAACCACGTAACCAAGTAACCACGTAACCAAGTAACCAAGTAACCACGTAACCAAGTAACCACGTTACCAAGTAACCAAGTAACCACGTAACCACGTAACCAAGTAACCACGTAACCAAGTAACCACGTTACCAAGTAACCAAGTAACCAAGTAACCACATTACCAAGTAACCACGTTACCAAGTAACCACGTTACCAAGTAGCCACGTTACCAAGTAACCACGTTACCAAGTAGCCACATTACCAAGTAACCACGTTACCAAGTAACCACATTACCAAGTAACCACGTAACCACGTTACCAAGCTAGCTAGTTTCTTGTTGACGTACAACTTGTTAGTTCAATTAGCAACCCACTTCCTCTCCCCGCTAGGTCTCTCTTTACTTTAGTTCGTGTTTTGTTCTTTATTTCTCCCCGCTAGGTCTCTCTTTACTTTAGTTCGTGTTTTGTTCTTTATTTCTCCCCGCTAGGTCTCTCTTTACTTTAGTTCGTGTTTTGTTCTTTGTTTCTCCCCGCTAGGTCTCTCTTTACTTTAGTTCGTGTTTTGTTCTTTGTTTCTCCCCGCTAGGTCTCTCTTTACTTTAGTTCGTGTTTTGTTCTTTATTTCTCCCCGCTAGGTCTCTCTTTACTTTAGTTCGTGTTTTGTTCTTTATTTCTCCCCGCTAGGTCTCTCTTTACTTTAGTTCGTGTTTTGTTCTTTATTTCTCCCCGCTAGTTCTCTCTTTACTTTAGTTCGTGTTTTGTTCTTTATTTCTCATGAGCCTCACCACAAGGTAGAATTATACGTTTTCATAGTGTTTCGTCAGAATACCTCTGATAGTTACGTGTATTACTTGGTAACTTGATAGTTACCCCTAGTTACGTGTATTACTTGGTAACTTGATAGTTACCCCTAGTTACGTGTATTACTTGGTAACTTGATAGTTACCCCTAGTTACGTGTATTACTTGGTAACTTGATAGTTACCCCTAGTTACGTGTATTACTTGGTAACTTGATAGTTACTCCTAGTTACGTGTATTACTTGGTAACTTGATAGTTACCCCTAGTTACGTGTATTACTTGGTAACTTGATAGTTACCCCTAGTTACGTGTATTACTTGGTAACTTGATAGTTACCCCTAGTTACGTGTATTACTTGGTAACTTGATAGTTACTCCTAGTTACGTGTATTACTTGGTAACTTGATAGTTACTCCTAGTTACGTGTATTACTTGGTAACTTGATAGTTACCCCTAGTTACGTGTATTACTTGGTAACTTGATAGTTACCCCTAGTTACGTGTATTACTTGGTAACTTGATAGTTACCCCAAGTTACGTGTATTGCAGATGTTAACAAAGCACTCCTCTCCCATGGCCTAATCATTGATGAATACCAAATAGAAGATCCTGGTAAATACGTATCTTTCCTTGACATAATGTTCACCTTCGATTCCTTAGGATCCCTCCAAACAGATTTGTTCATAAAGCCAACAGACTCTCGTTCATATCTACATTTTAAAAGCTCCCACCCTAACCATATCTATTCTGGTATCGTGTACTTTCAATGCCTTAGACTCAGAAGGATCATCAACTGTCAAGAACGCCTGAAAGAACATCTCAACAACCTCAAAAAAGCCTTCCTTGCCGCATGTTACCCTAGAAAAATGATTGAGAACATCAGTAATAAGGTCCTTAACACAACAAGATCACTGTCACGCAAAGTTCAGGCTCCTGATGACCAGACATCATTACATCTTCCAATCAGGGTCATATCTACTTATGGTAGTGATGATGATCTGGTGTCTGTGACTAAGAAGTATGAAGAACACCTCTCAAGAACGAGGAGTTTCAGTGAAAGTGACACTGCTGAAACATCCCAAGAGACCTCCTCAACATCCGCCACGCCTAGGAAGACAATTTTCAGTTACACAAAGAAAACAGGGCCAAGCCTAAAATCTCGCCTCGTCAAATTGAAAGAACTTGCTTTAGGAGCTCAACATGGCCCAACCAGCAAATGCAATGTGCCAAGATGCAAATGTTGTGAACTTGTCAAAGGCACCCGTGAATTCAATGTGAACGGCAAGAAGGTTAAAGCTTCCCCTGGAAACTGCCAGAGCTACAACATCATTTATCTGTTCCAATGTAGTGTCTGTGGAAAGGCTTACGTCGGTCGCACAACTCGATCTCTACGGGTTAGGACTGGAGAACATAGGGTCAAATATTATAAACTTTTAAATGGTGATAAGGTAGATGAAACAAGTGATGAATATAGTTTGGGTTTACATTTGTTGGATCATGGTTTTAGACAAAGGGAAGATTTTAACAAAATTTTTAATGTGTCAATTATTGATAATTCTAGTCCTAAAACTTTAGATGTCCGTGAACATAAATATATTCAACTACTCAAGACTTTAAAACCTTTGGGAATTAACACTATAAATCCTTTTGGCCTTCCATTACTCCTAACATCTTAATTTTAACTTTATAACTGTTTTAAGAGTGTTCAGATTTTTAAAGGAATTTTGGGTTTTACTAACTTTTTACAATTTCTAGGGCTTATGTCACTGAAGATGACGCCTTGCAACATGTTTGACGATAGCCTGTAGATTGATAGTTTGATCTCAGTATTTACAACAATTCATCTAGTTTGATTGATTCAAAGGGAAACAAATTCCTCTACGTGTATTACTTGGTAACTATAGTTACCCCTAGTTACGTGTATTACTTGGTAACTTGATAGTTACCCCTAGTTACGTGTATTACTTGGTAACTTGATAGTTACCCCTAGTTACGTGTATTACTTGGTAACTTGATAGTTACTCCTAGTTACGTGTATTACTTGGTAACTTGATAGTTACCCCTAGTTACGTGTATTACTTGGTAACTTGATAGTTACTCCTAGTTACGTGTATTACTTGGTAACTTTTTTTACACTTGTCGTAATATCGTGATAATGAAACATTTTGTTTAACAGGACACAATTTCATCTACCCAATGTCTCGCAACTTGTTAGTGAGCAACCCCCACAGTAAGTACATATGATTTCACTCTTCTCACGAGGAAATCTCCCACAGGACTGATTTAGTGGAGGTTTGTAGACATCTTGGTTACGATGACGACTACGCTGACGACATCTTAAACCAGATCGGACAAGATGGATTTATATCCTACGAAGCTTTCGCTCAGTCAAACCTCGCTCTTATGGCTAATGATGTAAGTGATGAGAGTAAGCTTAATTAATGATATTGAGACAAGTTATATCTTAGAATAACCTTGAAGTATTTTTAAAGACCTTTTCGAAGCAATAAAAAAGTTTAGTTCGAACTGCATTATAAGATTTATAACTTGATTTCCAAACGTTTTGTTTCGATAGAAGTTCATAACAGTAAGTGTTTTACCTTTGATTAAAGCTGTGTAAGCGTTATGAGGGATGATGTAGCCTGTTAGTGTATACTAATGTAGTCTACCATTATAAGGCGTGTATACACTGTATAGTGTACACAGGTTTAATTACATCCGTGTTAAGACCAGCTTACCCGCAAGGTGTATTACTAGTGTAGTAGCAGTGTTCACAGCTTTTAGACTAGTCTCGCTAATGACTGGGTTATCATAACAAAGCTTGTAATAATCTGTCACCTGACTATTTCCTCCTCATGTTTACTCATTTTTACCACATTTTTAAATGTTTTCTAATTTGTAACCTCTTTTAATGAACGAGCTTCACTGAACAGCACTTTAAATTGAGTAAATCATGATCATGGTACCTTTCAGATAGGAGATAATATCTCGGATAGAGCAGATATCTGGGATGCAGCAGAACCGGCTGATCCGACCTGGACCCCTAACCCGGGCCCTGGGGCCTGGGACTTTGACAAACAGTCACAGGTACTAACCCCACCCTCTCATACCCACATACATACATACATACATACATACATACATACATACACACATACATACATACATACATACATACATACATACATACATACATACATACATACATACATACATACATACATACATACATACATACATACATACATACATACATACATACATACATACATACACACATACATACATACATACATACATACATACATACATACATACATACATACATACATACATACATACATACATACATACATACGTAGCATACATATTACATACATACATACATACATACATACATACATACATACATACATACACACATACATACATACATACATACATACATACATACATACATACATACATACATACATACATACACACACACATACACACATACATACATACATACATACATACATACATACATACATACACACATACATACATACATACATACATACATACATACATACATACATACATACATACATACATACATACATACATACATACGTAGCATACATATTACATACATACATACATACATACATACATACATACATACATACATACATACATACATACATACATACATACATACATACATACATACATACATACATACATACATACATACATACATACATACATACATACACACACACACACATACACACATACATACATACATACATACATACATACATACATACATACATACATACATACATACATACATACATACATACATACATACATACATACATACATACATACATACATACATACATACATACATACATACATACATACATACATACATACATACATACATACATACATACATACATACATACATACATACATACATACATGTTACCCTAGGATACCCACATAACCTGGCTTTAAACCATTCTCTGCATTCCTACCACATACCTCTGTCAGCTTACGTGGTTACTCAGTTACCCTGAGAACCAGTAACCATGGTTACTGGTTCTATTAGTTCTGGTTCTATTAGTTCTGGTTCTCAGTTTGTCATCTAATAGATCACACATAATGGAATATCAGATCTGTAAATATTTAACCCAGAACTGATACCTGATCTTGCTGTAATAATTCGGAGATTTAAGGTTCATTTAGTATAGATTATATATTTATATTTGTCAATGAAAGCCGACTTAAAGTCAGACATGTCAACCATATCACGTTATAATTACCATGGTTACCATATCACGTTATTAGGATTAGCAGGATAATAATATAACCCTAATTAGGATTAGGTTATATTAAATTGGTGATGTCTGACTGTTCCTCTTAAACATATATAGTAGTATACTATTAAGTATTGTTCACTTCTAGCTTACTGAGATCATATCTTACTAGTTATTCCTCTGAGATCATCCTATTGTACTCACATATTCACAGTTACACTGAATTTCAACACTTAATGTGCATTGTTTTGGGTTAGATATGTCAATCCCCCTGAGAAAACTCAGACCTAAGTACAATTTGTTAATATAAGCCTCAAATAAGTTAGAATTTCTTAATCTGCGTAACAAAATTACTGAATCACGAAAATGTCATAACCCGTAGCACCTATGTGTTATGTTCCACACATGAGACGAATTATATTGCTGCGATTTGAAAGATCTACACATCCTAGAATCACAACACAATTACCATGGTTACACAGCACAATGTATTTGATAGTCTAGTCATACATGTCAATGTAATAGATTAGTATTTGCTGTGTGGTATTACAAACTGTAAGTCTGCAATGTTCCTCAATGTTCCTCAATGTGTACTCATTTCATCATATCCCCGCAAAGACCCCGCTATCGTTAACTTTATTAAATAAAATCATTGTACATACTTTAATGGTAATGTGGCTCTCAACCTGAAATACTACAAATCTTTTTAATTTATTGACGAAGCGATGTAGTAGAGTAGTAGCTAGCTAATGTAGATTGGGCGACAATCGACATCTGTCCGACTCAGAAAATAGGTTATTCGGACAATAGTTATGTCGGATCCTACCGTACGATTTTTTTGAAACTTTCCATAAAGTATGGTGGTTATAGGACGGATAATCTGTGTAAGTTACAGCTAGCTAGCTACTACTACTACTAGTAGCTAGCTAATGTAGATAATGTAACTGAGTCGATATATTTTAATGTTTCCGTGGTGTGGCAAGTCCCCATTCATCGATAGTTTCACTGCATCCTAATATGAAATATAAGTATTACTTGATAGCTAATGCTCTTATTTAAGTTCTTCTTCGTTACAACTAAGTTAAAAACTGTGGCTAATTTTCACAATCTTAGTTACCATGGTTACCATCACTCCTTCATTTTATAAATCTGCGTAACAATCTGTAACAATTCTCTAGCTACACTCTTTATTGCAAACCCCGTTCAGCTTTGACTGACTTGTGTTATTTCAGGAGTTATTTGAGAAATCAAACCCTAATGACCAAGATAACAGGTAATTTATCCTATATCAATATCATGTTTAATATGTTATAATTAGTTATTTTCAGTTAATATCTTGTTTTTTCGTCATTTTTTGTGATGTCACTTGGCTTAAGAGTTCGTTTAGGAACACACATCAACTTTATTTTTGCCCTGTTTTACTTTGAAGATAGTAACAAAGAAGGCGGTATCTCTTATAGCGGGTCTTCTGACCGTCTAAGAAACAACTAAGATCAAATTCCTGCGGTTTGCGGCTCCCTTTACGGGACATGAAGGGTATTTTCTCAAAGTTTATGGAACGCGCGATAACAACTTCTGTATTTTAAGTTGCGCGTGAATGCATCGGTTCTGCGCGCGCCACCGCGCGCGACAGCATAACATGTATTTAGTGACTATCGTTATTTAGAAAGCTGCCTGATGGGTGTATGATGTAGATGGTTTTAAGTTTATAACTAGCTTTAAAAGGTTCGCAAGCCGCTGGTCACGATCACACTTGTCAAATTACGCCAACTTAAAGATGTGAAACTTCATTGTTGTTAGACAGTCCGCAGTCTGACGGCTGACATTTGATTTAGAGATTGCTTGTTACCGTGGAGGTATACTGCCCCCTGGGCCCTGACCCTAGGATATCGGGACATATTAGCATGCAGTGTCTGTTACTTAGTTACTAACATATGTCTCAAGACTCCGTTAATGGAAAAACATCACTACAAGTCCAGTTCAAGGCTCGAAACAGTTCTAATTAGGATAAACATTAAGACCCCCCCGGCCCCCCAAGTCGTGTGTCGCCAATCTAATTACTATTATTATATTCTAATTAGCGTTATTAAGGTCATGTGACATGCATGATACCAGGATATGATGTATCTAACGTGCACTTACAGTTTTAATAGAACTTGAAACATTGTCGATACATTATTCATTAGGTGTGGCCAACAACCCTACCTTTAGTTTTTAAGCTATTTCAATCTGGATTAGACAGCTTTAAGTTGTAATTCTGAATGAGGAATACCCAGGGTTGGTGGCTGACCTACTGACCTTGCTATCTCGTTACCATGGTTACCATCACTTCTTCTCGTGCTCTGACCAGCTTATTTCCCCTGAAGGAATCACATATAAAGATGCTTGTGTGATACACTACCGCACTTTCTGCTCTGCAGACTGCTGTCTCTATAAGATATGAAGTTGGCAGTTCAGGTCACAGTCAGAACACCCTCCTCTCGTTTATAAGTCATTACAACAGATGCATCGTGCGACTGTTTCTCTGTGCTCCAGACCACTATACAGTTTCCAGAGCATGCAGATCTATTTGTTGTGTTGTCTTCAATCTGCTGGTCAGCAGTCTGACGTTGATTGCTCATCAATTTGTTTACTCTGACGTAAATTAAAAGTACTTTAAAGTGCAATTCATTGGATTGGATGATTTAATTTCTCTCTTGCTGTCTCTCTCTCTGAAACACTGTACGTATTACTAGTGTAAACCGCCTGCTACCTGTACGTGTTAAAATGCTACAATAAAGATCTTTTTCTCTGTGAGTTTAACTGTAATTGATTCACTGACTGATCTCTCTTTTCGTCTTGTTATCTACTTATGTTTTACTTTATTGTTACACAACCTTGTCTCCGAGTGGCTTTAACAAGATAATGGGAGAGTTTGTGTGCTGTGAGCGGAGGTATTTAACTGAGTGTTTGGAGGAGTTGGTTATGATAATGTTATTTATCAGAATTAGTGTTGAATAATTTGAAGTGAATCTTTGTAATTATCATGCACAGGCTCCGAGGGGTCGGACATCAGTGTTAGCGTGCATTCGTTCAAGCTGGCTCGTAATACTTCACACA